TCACAGCCGGGCAGCCACACAGACCAGCACACGGGCTGCACAAAACCCTTGCCGGGCCCCAGATCCCGGACCTGTCACAGGATACCCGATGCCGAGCTGGAAGAAGTGGGGTCAGCCAAAGGGAGGCCACACACTCCTTCCCATGGGGCAGACGAGGCCATGGATGCCAGCCCGCCCAACAGCTCCCTGGCCTCACCAGGCAGCAAGGAAGTCACATGATGACACGGCCGCCCCCACGCGTCCTCACGGGGCAAAAATCAACAAGGAAGAGCACTGGGCCTCCTTCAGGGATGAGCAGAGTATAAAAGCAGAGAACCCCGGGGAACCTCCACACACACTCACACCCACACTCACACACGCACCCTCCCTCCTCCAGCTGCACGCCATGGCCGCCTCCACCCTGTCCGTCTGCTCCAGCGACCTGAGCTACGGCAGCCGGTCTGCCTGCCTGAGTCCTCCTGGCAAGGGGACGACTGCCCCGAGAGCTGCTGCGAGCCCCCCTGCTGCGAGCCCCCCTGCTGCGCCCCCAGCTGCTGCGCCCCCGCCTCCTGCCAGACCCTGATGTGCGCCCCGGTGAGCTGCGGGTCCAGCTCCTGCGAGCCCTCGTGCTGCAGCTGCTCCCCCTGCCAGCAGGCCTGCTGCATGCCCGTGTGCTGCAAGCCCATGTGCTGCACGCCCACGTGCTGCACGCCTGTCTCGTGCACACCTGCCTGCTGCACGCCTGTCTGCTGCAAGCCCATGTGCTGCACGCCCGTCTGCTGCAAGCCTGTGTGTTGCACGCCCGTCTGCTGCAAGCCTGTGTGCTGCACACCCATGTGCTGCACGCCTGTCTCGTGCACACCTGCCTGCTGCACGCCCATGTGTTGCACGCCCGCCTGCTGCACGCCCGCGTGCTGTGTGCCCGTCTGCTCGGGGCCCTCCCCCTGCTCATCCTCCTCCTGCTGCCAGCCCAGCCCCTGCCCCCCGCCCTGCTGCAAACCCTCCTCCTGCGTGTCCCTCATCTGCCGCCCCGTGTGCAAACCCGCCTGCTGCGCCCCCGCCCCCTCCTGCCAGCCCGGCTGCTGCCGCGGGCCTCCTCCGTGTCCCTGCTCTGCCGGCCCGCGTGCCCCCGCCCCGCCTGCTGCTGACCCCTCCCGGCTGCCGTCAGGTCCCTTCTCCAGCAGGAGGCCAACTCCCCACCGGCCACCCCGCGCCTGCCCTTCAGACCAAGGGGAGGGGACAAACCCACCCCGCCTGCTCCCGCCCCGTCTCAGGAGCCAGGGATACTACCGAGTCCTCCCTGATGCCGGCCGCACCGGGGAGTCACACTCCCCCGCTGCCCCTGAGCCCCAGCTGGCGTCCCCAGGGCCCAGCAGGCCTGGCCCCCTGCAGGCAGGGACCTGAGCTCTGAACCCTAATAAAGCCTCTTGTCTCATGCTGACCTCCCGTCCTGTCTGTGCACATACCGGGCAGAGGGAGGGGCGCACCTGGTGCTGGCTCTGGGAACCCCTCAGGCCGTCTCCCTCTCAGTTCTTGGGGCCTGGCCCCCAGACCCATCTCAGGAAAGCTGTGCCTGGACCCGGGGCCGGGCGTCGCGGGACATAGCCACGGTCCCTGGGCTCAGTGGCGGCCCCCAGGACAGCGTAGCGCATCTGTGCCAGACCCCCGCAGGCAGCCGCGCCGCTGGTCACCAGGGCTAACCCCTCTGCACCTCCAACAAGACAGCCCAGAGCCAGACAGCCCGCCCCAGACAGCCCCGCCCTCAGAGCACCGACACAGTTGGTGTCTGCTGGCCACTGGCAAGGCAGACCTTCCTCCAGCTTCCACCAATGCCCCAAGACACAGAACGGACCTCATCTTTCTGGTTTCCTCCACCCTCTCCTCTCAACAGGGGCAGGGGACGGGGCGGTAAAGGCAGGTTAAAGGCCCTGAGGCAGGATGCAGCCTCCATGGGCGGTAGCCTCCTGGAGACTCCCCTGGCTGCTGCCCACTTCCCAGACTCCCAAGTCCCTTGCTCCCTGAGCGCCATCCCCCACTCCTGCTGCAAAGAGCCCCTGAGCTCGGCATGGCACAAGGGGGCTGATGCAGATGGAGCCCACAGTTTCCCCAGAGCCCCAGCTGCTGCCTGGCCTCGGCCTGAGCTCGCTCCCGGCCACCAGTGGCATGTGGGACAGTGCCCACCTGCCATCCTCGACCCACAGCCCCCAGCAGGCCAGGGAGTCCCATGGGGGCAGTGCTAACTGAGGGCAGGGTGGGACCTCCAGGTTCCTCCCTGAAGCAGCCCGGGTCAGGCAGCAGGGCCAGTCCCAGGGCCAGAGACAAGTGGACGCTGCTGCTGCAGTCCTGGAAGCGCAGCCAGCACAGAGGTGGTGGCCATCCCGCTGTGGCTCTGGGGCCGTGGGCCAGAAGCGCCAACTTGGAGCTCAGACGCCTTCATGCTCTGCAAGTGCAGGACACACAGCAGGGCTGACCCTCTGCCCCCATGGTCAGGCCTGGCAGCAGGGAGAGGGCCCACTCACTCTCTGACCCTTCTGCTTGACCCCGTCACCCCAATTGCTGCAAACACTGAGGAGGGGGGCTGCCCAGAGAGACAGATGCACCCCCCTGACTGAAATTCAAAACTCCGCTGATGGAAGAAGTGCATCACATATGAACTGCCCTGCCACCCCCAGCGACTTCAGCCAAGCCCACATTTCTTTACCCCTAATCTGCTTTTCAGGCAATATAATTTTACTAGTTTATTTTCAACCCCATCCCCCAAATGAATATGAACCCTTTCCTTTCCTGGACAGAAAGGCAGACTTGAGCTTGCCTCCCTACCAGTCAATTCACAGTAAAGCTTCTTCCTTTTCTCAAGCCTGGCATCCTGGAATTCGGGCCTGTGCACTGGGGAGCACGTTGCTCGGTAACAGGGCCCATGAGCACGCAGGCTGTGTGCACCCGCGCCACAAAGGAGGGGACTCAAGGCCTGAAGAACATAGGCCCAGTGTACCCAGTGGACTCACAGCAGAGACAGGAGAAGAGCAAAACTGGGCATGTCGGGTCAGAGGAGAGAGAAACACAGCGTCCCGGCGACCTTGGGGCGGGGGTCGTTCTGAGACCCCACACTCCCTCAGAGCCCCCGCTGGCTTATGAGGACATACTTGCTTGTGCACAGGACACATCATCAATGAACCCCAAGAAGGCAGACCCTCATAAAATTACGATTATCAGCCGAGGATCTCCAGACACTTGTGGAAACACAAGCTGAAGGTGAGAGTAACATTCTGGTATAAAAGCCCAGCAGGTCCAGAGCAGAGCAGAAGGAAGGAAGCCAGAGGGGATACACCAGAGTTCCTGGGAACAAAAGGCACCACACTCCGAGGGCAAGACACCCACCGCACAGCGTGCCCACAGCTCCCCCGGCCAGGGGACATGTGAGTATTGTGGATTCTCTGCCCCAGCCGTTGCCATCCTTGGTACAGCTGTTCTACTGCTTGGTGGTTTTGTGCCTGTAAAAAGCAGTCCCTTGGGGAGGCTTGGCACAGTGGTTGACTTTGGAAAGCACTCGCCTGTGGCTTGAGTGTGAAAAGGAAAAGGGCATGATTGCTTCCTCCCCAAGAAGCAACACAGGACCTCGAGTCTTGTAAAGGAGGTTGGGATTCACCAACATTTCAGAGCCACTGAGAGGATTTTCAAGAGTTATAATAAGAAAAACTAAAACAGAATAGTATGAACATGAGGACTCTGCTATGTTTGCAGAAAAGAGAAGCAAATTGGTGTGTGATGGCACAGGACTTCAGGCACAAGAACGAAGTAGCCTTTAATGGGAGAGTCAGATGAGCTGACGTTAGTGAGCAGCCTGTGAGACAGCCCTGGAGGTGGTGGAGAGTCTGTAGAAAGCACAGAATCACCATCAGTTATGGGGGACCATGCCTTGGCATGTCACAAGACAAATCAGTCAGCTAGGAAAAAGAAACAATCAAATAATAGTGGTTCCAAACTAAAAATTAGGAAATAATTCCCAATTTATGAACCAAAAATGGCTAAACACTAAAAGATAAAATCAAAAGCCCTCCTAGAAATGAGAGTGAGGGCAAACATTCAGAGCTGAGAGAGAACCCAAGCCACACAGGCTAGTTCCACAGGGCCAGACAACTCCTGCACCAGAGGAGGACAGGTCAGCAGGGTGAGGTTATTGGAAACATCCAACAATAAGCCTCAACCAGCTCTAGGCACAGGAAGGGACGAAATTCACAAGTGAAAATGTGGCATATTTGAATAAAAACAACCAAATGTCCCTGGAAAGTGAAGAAAAATAGATGAGCAGCTTCAGACTTATCAGGAACACAGGAAATGTAAATGTGTCCTTTATGTTTTTGAGAAAGTCGTCATTTAAAAGCAGAATTCTGGGCCTCCCCTGGTGGCGCAGCGGTTGAGCGCTGGGCTGCGAGGCTGCCCGCAGCCTCTGCAGCGCTGATTCGTTCCCCCGGCCACCGGCGAGGGTCCCACACTCACACAAAAAAAGCAGAATTCTATACCCAGCCAAATTGTCAAAAAGTATGATGGTAAAATTGATGCTTTTTGGAGATGTACAAAGAATTCGAAAGTGCAAAACCACTACCAGACAAGAAAACAAAAAAAAAATCCCAAGTGTGGCTTGAATTACAGCAGAGACCTCTGGGGTACGGGAGGGGAGAAAAGCTGAGCAGAGTGAGCCCCTCAACCCCAAGCACCAAGCAGGCTCCACACAAGCCATACAAGTTTTCTGTAGCCAAACAGGAAGAGACAGGAAAACACACCCCGGCACACTCACAGGCTGATGAGTCAAGGCTAAGGTAGAAACAAAACCAGCGTGGATGAGGCTCTCCTGCAGCTGCAAACACCAACAAGGAAGGCCTGTGAGCTGGGAGGGGAAACACAAGCCCAGAGGGGTATAAAAGCCCAGAGGCCCAGCACCTCCACACCCACTCACACACACACACACACACACACACACACACACACGCACGCACGCATCCTCCCTCCTCCAGCCACACGCCATGGCCTCCTCCACCCTGTCCGTCTGCTCCAGTGACCTGAGCTACAGCAGCCGGGTCTGCCTGCCTGTGTCCTGGCCTGAGTCCTCCTGGCAGGGAGACGACTGCCCCGAGAGCTGCTGTGAGCCCCCCTGCTGTGCCCCCAGCTGCTGCGCTCCTGCCTCCTGCCAGACCCTGATGTGCACCCCGGTGAGCTGTGGGTCCAGCCCCTGCCAGTCGGCCTGCAGCTGCCCCTGCGAGCCCTCATGCTGCAGCTGCTCCCCCTGCCAGCAGGCCTGCTGCATGCCCATGTGCTGCAAGCCTGTGTGCTGCACACCCATGTGCTGCACGCTTGTCTCGTGCACACCTGCCTGCTGCACGCCTGTCTGCTGCAAGCCCGTGTGTTGCACGCCCATCTGCTGCACGCCCGCGTGCTGTGTGCCCGTCTGCTCGGGGCCCTCCCCCTGCTCATCCTCCTCCTGCTGCCAGCCCAGCCCCTGCCCCCCGCCCTGCTGCAAACCCTCCTCCTGCGTGTCCCTCATCTGCCGCCCCGTGTGCAAACCCGCCTGCTGCGCCCCCGCCCCCTCCTGCCAGCCCGGCTGCTGCCGCGGGGCCTCCTCCGTGTCCCTGCTCTGCCGGCCCGCGTGCCCCCGCCCCGCCTGCTGCTGACCCTCTCTCCTGCCTGGAGGGCTGCTGTCTGCCCTCAGCACAGCTCTCCCTGTGGGACCCCAGCCCCTCTGCTGGCGCCAGGACCTCCCCTTTCCACTAGGGGACACTCAGCTGCTGCTCAAGGGGATTCGAACCCTTTCTGAGACAAGAGGCCCACAGATCCCTCAGGATGGGGGACCGACGGCGTGACGGGGCCTACTCCGCAGGGCAGCTGCTGGCATCTGATGTGACAACAGTCAGTTGCCATAATCAATAAACGGTGTGTCAGACAACATGGCAGTGTATTTCTTCTTCCTCCCTGAGCACCCCAAGGTCCCTGTGGGGGGTCTTCAGCTGGTGGGAGCCAGACATTACAGACGCCCTCTCAGACTTGAGTTCGGAATGGCTGAGAGACGGCACCATCTGGACGTGGGTGCTGTCTGCCTGCTCCCCCTTCCCCGCCACACCCAGGCCCCGCCCCCCCAGCACCCCCCCAGTAGAGCCCTCGCAGGCTGGCACAGGAGGCAGCGTGGGGTCAGAGGCTTGGGCCCCCCATGGGCCCTCGGGCCCCTGCCCATGCCGGATCGGGTGAACTGGGGGGAGGGACAGCAGAGACCCTGGTTGGTGGGGACTGGGGAGTCCGGTCCAGACCGAGCTGACTCCCCTGGACAGAGGCGCCCACACGGAGAAGGAGCGCCTGGTGCTGGGGGGCGGGGCCGCGGCTGAGTGGACAAGTCTGCGCTGGCCCCACTAGCTCCTGGGGTCCCGCGGGGCCCCCGGGTCCCTCCAGACACGGCTCCTGCTTGAGATTTCTAAGCCGGTGGAGACGGCACAGAGCAAGGACCCGCGAACACACCCTTGGGCGGGGCGGGCGAGCTGCCGTCTCAGGACCGCTGGCACCGGGGGCCGTGGGCCCGTCAGAGCCACCAGGGCAGCACCAGGCGCCCGCTTCCCCTCGGGCCAGAGATGGGCCCATCGGGCCCACGAACCAGGGCCTGGCAGACAGGACCAGGAGCAGGGGGCGGCTCGGGGGCCACCCCACCCAGCTTATCTCTGCCTCCAGGGAGAGGACAGAGCAGCACCCCTGGGGGGCCTTTAGACAGAAAGTGGCCGCGGCGTACACCCGCCTGGCTCCCGACCCCTCGGCTTCCCGAGTTGGCCCAAACCCTGCCCCATCGCGCACCTTCAGACTTAAGGGAAAGTGGACCAAGGCCTGACGGCCACTCCCAGCGCAGAGCGGACAAAGACTCAGAAGAAGCTCCAGCTCCCCACCCAGAGCCACGAGTGCAGGGATGCAGACGGGGTGAAGCGCGCAGAGACCCCAAGGCCTGAGGGATGGCGCCTCCCCTAGGGCCGGACAACCCTCCTGCCCAGAAAGCCGCCCCCCTCCCCAGGCAGTGGGTGCCCCAGGGACAGCAGGTGCCACAGCAGCGGTGCTCACGCCGGGTCCAAGTTCATGCAGCATCCAAGCTCACACCCGGGATTCAGAGTTCACAAGGGGTCCGAGCTCATGTGAGGTTCCGATTCACGCGGGGGTCCCGAGCCCATGTGGGGTTCTGGAAGCTCACGTGGGGGTCCTGAGCTCATGTGGGAGGGGTCCTGAGCTCATGGGGGGTAGTTCGAGCTCATGGGGGAGACCCGAGCTCACATGGGGTCCAAGCCCACTTGGCCCGCACACTCAGCCGCAGCAGGATGGGGAGGCGAGAGCAGCCGAGATGACGGCTGGTGCTCCTGGAGGCTTGTTTATAAATGTCCACAGGGAGGAAGGTTCTGGAAGCTCTCTGGACCTCCCTCTGCGGAGCCAATGGCTTCCACGGCTGCGGACCAGCCGCAAAGCCCGGCAGCTGAGAGTGGGGACACCCATCCCCGCCCACACCCCCATCCCCAGACTCTCGGGACCCGCTTCTCTCAAGTCGCCCATCTGGGGATTCGGGGGGGGGGGGCGGTGCAGCCCTGAAAACTCCTCCTCCGCCCGAGCCAGGGAGGCGGGAGGCCAAGGGGCGCCTGCACCAGGGTCGGGGTCGGGCTGGGCTGGGGGTCGGGAGGGAGTCCCTCCAGGCAGCAGGGCCAGTCCCCCTCACTGGGGTGGGGGCTGCCCTCCTCAGCTGGGGAGGGGCGCCAGGAGTGGGCCGAGTCCCTGAGGGCTCCCCCCACGCCACCAGGGCTTGCAGCCTCGAAGTTCTCGTGGGGTCTGTGCTGAGGCCCCAGGGGGCGTGCTGGGGGTGCTGCTGCAGGTGCCCAGGGATGGGCCTTGGGGGGACCAGTGGCCGCAGGTGCAGAGCCAGGCAGGACGCGCCTCTGCCAGGCAGGGAAGGGGAGTCCCAGCCCTCTCCGGGCGGGGGCGGGCAGAGGCGCGCAGGAAGCACCCCGAAGGGGAGCCCAGAGACCAGGAAGAGCCCCCAAGGGGAGGGGCCCAGAAACCCTGGGCCTCGCCTCCCTCCCCGCGCCTCCCCTCCTCCCACGGCCACGGCTGGCGGGACCCGGGCCTGGAGAAGCAGGGTCCGAGCTGGGGAGCCATCACGCTGGCCCCGAGTCTCCCCCACTCCAGAGGCCCCTCCCCTGGGCTCTTCCTGGCCAGGCCCGGGCGGCCTCTGGCTTCTCCCGAAGGGCTCCTCTGCCGGCCAAGCCCCTCTGGCCCGCTAGTCCGGGGATGGCCCGGACCACCCGAGCCCTTCCGCGGCCGGGCACTTGGCCTGTGAGGGGCGTGGCCGCAGGTTAGGGACCGGTGAGGCCATCAGGGAGGCACAGAAGTCATGCCCCGGGGGCCCCACCTGCGGAGCCCCAGCCGCCCCAGGGGAGCCCACTGGGGTCCTGGGAGGACACTCACACCCACACCCAGGACACCCACAGGCCACCCCCAGGACACCTTCTCCCCGGGGGCCAGGTCAGAAAGGAGGACCTGCGCCCGCCCAGAGCAGGGTCAGTTCTGACCCCACGGCCATGGCTGAGCCTCCCCGTGGCGGTCACCCCAGGCCACTGGCACCTGCGCCTCTTGGCAGAAAGGGAGTTTCCGGACCCTCGGAGCCTCCCGGGTGGGTGCGGTCCAGGGGCCGGCGTGGAGTGGGGACAGGGCACACGGTGGGCCTGGCTGTGGCGGTTTACTGGGCCTTGGGGCCGGGGCTGCAGGGCCTGGACACAGGCCTGGCCGGTGTGGACCCATGTGGATGCCCGGGCTCGGGGCCGGGGGCTGTGGGTTGGGATGGAGCCGCCTCACGGCAGGGTTCCAGCCAGGCCCCGAGGGCGGAATGGGCCACGCGGGCTGCTTCGTGGGGTCCCAGCGGCTGCTTCGGAACCTGCACGCCCAGGCCGGGCCTCAGGGACCCGGGCTTAGCAGCAGGCAGGGGCACCGCAGGGACCGGCCTGCAGACCAGGTGGGGCTGGAGGACGGGCAGGAAGGGGCCAGGCACCCGAGGGCCGGCAGCTCATGGGCACACAGGAGTTGGGCGCTCGGCCGGCGGCTGGCAGCAGAGGGGCGGCTGGTGTGGCACGGGGCGGTGGGGGGCCGCGGGTCAGCGCGGAGGACGGCTGGCCTGTGGCTCCTTCCCCGGCCGCCGTTTATTCGCGGCCTCCTCCTCCCGGCGCCAGTCGCTCGGGCTGCCCGCGGAAGCGCGGGGTTTCCTCGTCCCTGAGTCTGGGGAAGTGACTCAGGCAGCCGCTGCTTCTGGGCCGGAGGCTCCTGTGACTCAGCAGCTGTGGGGTTCCTGCCTCGCGGCCCCGTCGGACGGGGCACGGCCGTCGTGGGGGACGGGGCCACATCACGACGCCGAGGTCCTCCCGCGACGAACGCCCAGTGCTCTGTCCACACGACACCGCCTGGCTCGCCGCCCCGGGGCCTGTCGTGATCTGAGGCCTCGGAGACCCGGGCGCCAGGCTATGGCCCCCCCGGGCAGAGCGACCTCGCCCCGGTGGCCACGAGTCCCGAGCGCAGGCCCCGCACGCTGGAGTCTCGCCCCAGGACGGTCCCGCGCCCGCGGGGTCGGGACACCAGCGTGGGCTGCCCTTTGGCTCTGTCCGCGGGTCAAGGTCACATAAAACGGAGGCGCCTAGGCGGCCACGGCGGCCCCTCACCTGTGACCCAGGTCCCGAGAGGGACGTTCTGAACAGGCTCTCGGGTCGGACCCGGTCGGGACTCCACCGGCCGGCCCTGCTCTCCCCCTGCACCCCTCTCCTCCGGCTTCAGCTCTCCGTGGCCCCAAGCGTCACCGCGGGGCCGTGGGGCCCTCAGCTGGCTGCCGTGTCCACCCCCGAGCGCGGGTTTGTCTGGGTCCAGACGGCCGGTGCTCCCGCGCGCCTTGACGCCCCCCGCCCCCGCCCCGCGCCCCCCGCCCCGCGGCGCCCCGCGGCGCCCCGCTCCCCGGGGAGTGGCTCCTGCCGGCGGGCGCTTTCTCTCATCCTGGCTTGTCAGTGTAGCCGCCCCGCGCCCGGATGGGATGGGTGGTGCTCCCGGCCCGTGCATCTGTCGGTCGTTGTGTTTTTCAGGATCAAAATGCGGGGAGCTGCGCGTTATTTCTTGGAAAGGCGGGGACGCTTCCGCGTTCTTTCCGAGCTCGGCGCCGGCCCGGCCCGTGGGCCCCTTTGCTTCCTTGGTTCTGGTTCTCCGTCCTCTGCAGGCTGGCCGGTGCCTGCTGGACAGCGTGGCCCCCGCTTTCCTCCTGCCCTCCCCATCCTGTCCCCCTCCCTGCTCCCTCCTGCTCTCCTCCCCCTTCGCCCCCCTCCCCTCCCCTCCCCTCCCCTCCTGCCCTGCCCCCCTCCCCGCCCCCGTCGTCCTCTCCCCTCCTCCTCCCCCCTGCCCCTGCCCCCCAGCTTCTCTCAGGCCACCCGGAGGGGGTTGTCTCTCCCGTTACTTTCCAGCTCCAGGATTCCCGTTGTCCGTTGGTCGCAGTTTCCCTTTATCTGCCGAGTTTCCCTGTTCACCCACTCGTGAGAATAACTTCCCTGTCATTCTTCGTGCGTATTCTCTTTGATTCTTTGTAAGTCTTCTGAAACCAGTGTTCGCCAAACCAGTATCTGGACTCTCCGGT